GCACGGCTGAAGGGGTGGGTCATCGAAAGTTAATTGCAATCATAAGGGTGGGCCACGTAAAATTATGCAGAAATTTTTTCAAGGGCTATGCATGTGTATTAAAATTCATATTATAAAAATAGAAATAAAATGTATCAGGATCCATGTGTAAAATTTATACCGCAAACGTTAACCTCAAACTTAAAAGCTGAATTTACTGTCTTGGCTAATCAGTGGCGGCCACTAAGGGGGGCGGCTAAGGGGTCCCGAGCCCCCCCCCCCGCCCAAAAATTTTGAAAGACTGTAAAAATCTTGTACCAAATAACACAAATCACAATCATATAACGTAATTGTCGTCATAATATATACTAGGAGTTACTATCGCAAGGAAAGTGCTGCCTTTTTGCCACATGAACTGAATGCAAACGTTTATACTTCTAGACAATTCTCTAAAGGGAAGTTTACTTTTAACCCAATGGCCTCATTTCCACGCTTCATCACTGGTAGCATGGTAAGCCTGCACATATCCCCTATGGCTATGTTTCTTGCATAAATTTGTTTCTCGTTCATCATTTAAGACCAATCACATGAATATCTTCTTCTAACTTCTTCAGACTTTGCTTAGAGTCAATGTGAGTAAAATACTCCTTCTATTCAAGCGCTTTCATGCAGAAAGTTTCGTTTGAGTACGGTACAGAGTGGAAATATTTATTTTAAATTTTTCAAAATATCGGGTTTTTACTTGCACGCACGCGCCAGGTGTATGCTTGGCAATATATAGCCCGATACACGTGTAAACCATGCCACTGGGAGTACTTTGACTTGTAGAAATCTGAAGACACAAGCTTGAAAATAACACCGTCTAAATAATGTTTTGGATTCCGGTTCGAATAAGACTATTACGAAAAAGATATGTCCAAAGGGGCCAAAGTTATGTTCGGCGAAATGTATGGCTATTTTACATTGTTCGTTACTATGAAATATGATACCATATGGACCTTTATACTTATATTAAAGATTCGCGTCGTATACTCATTTTCGCTAGCTTTAAATTCGCGCGATTTAATTTCGCGCACCTTGTTGAGACGCATTCGCTTAGCTTTAAATTCGCGCGAGTATTTTCCATGTTCGTTCTTTTTGGTTTGTTTTATAGCAAAATTCATGAAATAAAGCGGTGCGTTCAAAACACCAACAAGAAATAAAACATTTATTGCTTGCTATAGGAATCTTATTTTAATAAGTCTGATTACGTTGACGATGTCGTTTCTATTTTGTTTCTTACACAGCAAATGGAAATTGATAAACGACATATCGTTAGTTATATTTTTGTAATATCATGATATTGTTTGAATACCTAGCTTTATATCGAACATTAAAACAGCAGATCTATTGCCTTCATGTATATCACTAGAGAGGAATAAAGCCATTCGTACCCGATTTATATTTATAATCGCATATTGTTTCTAAGATCATAGACAACCCCGCCCCCCTTGATACTTCATTAATTTCCGTAACCCCCTTGGATGCGGATATACAACTTGACGAAATATCGAGATTCAAGCCACAAGACTATTAAACTCGGGGCGCGGGGACTGGTAACGAAAACAACGTGCGTCGAGAATAGTGTGCTGCCTCGCTGGCGCTCGGCAGCAAATATATGTTTCTGTACTGTACTGTACATGTCACAGGCACTTCTTTAAATGTCATTGTCGATTTTTTGTTGTTTTAGAAGCTTATACCTTTGTTTAGCGGCGAAATTTCCTGCTGCACAATAATATTTGAATGCGTATTAAACTATTATGCTCAAAAACAATGTATAATTCAATTAACATTCCAATTCTATGTTAGCAAATTAAAACAAAAGCGTGCGCAGCGAATAAATTTCACTCACTTAGCGAATACATTTTTACATCCTTGCAATTCTATTCACAAATGTTAATAATCATGCAAGTATTTTCTCTGAAATGTTGGTTTTCTATGCTTAGCATGTGATTTATAACAAAACGCACCATTAAAACAGTGTTTTGAAAACCTAATTTTTCGCAAAATGTGTTCTCAGAATGCTGCAAATGCCATTTCCGGGTTCAAATTAAAAAAATTTTCCGTGTCTTCGGCACGAGCCACCCGCCCCCCCCCCCCAAAAAAAAATGCGTAAAGCGTCCGCCACTATGGCTAATACGTTAGTAGTCGCTAACTAATTTTCTGATATTATTGTTAAATGTCACGAGCTTTGTGCAGTTTGTTAAATCACAATTATCGTTTGTGGTTTGGCCCGTAAATGTCAAACTAAAGGTCTCTAATTATAAGAAAGATACTGCATATACAGTATGCATCATGGGAAGTTCCTTGCAAAGACAGACCTTTCTGTATTTAATTGCACCATTCGAATAGCTATTGAGTATTGTAACACATAATTATTTGGCAATAGATAAATGGAACGCTGGTATCTTTCGCCTTTCTGAAAGGGTGGGTCATAATTTTTCAGCACCAATTTAAGGGTGGGCTACAAATTTTCGAGCAGCTATTAAGGAGTGGGCTACCAAAAGTGCAGACGCCAAATATATGATTTTCCCAGCCTACCCCTCCCCTTTTACTTTATGACCGGTCCCTAATTTAGTAGGTCTGGTAATGCGAGGCGATTTACTCCTCCATGGAAAATAAGGAATGTCCTTCAAAGCTACAGTATCTGACAGAAACTGGAAAGGGTGCATTTCTATTATAATAATATATTTGCATGTCAAATATCAAAAATAGGTCAATTTCTATTATAATTTTGTATGGATAATATGGGTTGCTCGAATGGCAGAGGATTAATTTAATTTAATTGTTATTAATTATTTATTATATTCATTCATTATAATAAGGTTCAATTCAGTTCAACTACTGGAAGCTCGTATTTTTTTTCAAAAGCACAGATTTTTTTTAGAGTTGCACAAATTGATTTAGAACTGCACATTTTGTGTATAGAACTGCACGTTAAAAAAAACCTGCAATGACCATGCAAAGTTTCGCACCGTCTTGTGCATGTGTATATAATATCTGATTTCCGTAAGTAATTATTAATCCTCCGTAAAATGATTTAGTTCTCTCAAATAGGAAGGTATGATTATTTAAAACCTAAAATATTTTTATCTATCCTGACAATAATCGTTTTTTAGTTTGCAAAATTGATTAATTACGCTATTTTACAGCGTACGTATTTATAACGATTATTTCAAACGACGTTCATGTATCACTTTTGCTGTCAAATATTTTCAAATTTGAAGCAAACGTGATGTTTGCTCCTTATGTTGAAAAATCGGTGGACGTATTTGTTCCGATATAACAAGGAACAACGTAAACATACATTAACATGCAAATATGAAAAAAAACAGTGGGAATTTTCGGTACTTGAGAATCTCAAAGTAACGTAAATATGTCTGTGCGATACACTTTAAAATTAAAAATGAAATTGTTCTGTGGCAAACGTCTATCTTCATTAAATTTAATGACACATCATGTATTAAGAACAAATTGAATAAAACAACAAAGGTTTGTTGTGTCACATTTATTATAATATGTTGTAACCATGCAGTCTGTTTATACAGTTCTGTCTCTGGTTTGCTTCAAAGATGCCTTACGTGCGCACAGAAAACAGAAGACAATGCAATATTTGAGATCTCTTGAAGACTACTTATCTCCTAAATTATGAATACATGAACTACAGAGCACTTCTTTGAATATGTCGGCCAGCAATATATTCAAGCATCCACAAAAAAATTTAACATGCATACACACATGCATGCAAATTGTCCCTGAAACAACTGATAAGAACCACGACGTTTCGAGTAATAAAATCCTGCATGAATTAATATAAACACAACAAAATTGTTATATGCTCTCTAAACTGTATAAATTATTCTGAACGTTATCACTATTCTGTGGCGTTAACCAGCCCGACGATTTGGTCCCGCTATGCAAAATTTTAAGTCATTATCAATATTCATTTCTTTAGAAATTGAATGTGTTGATAGTTTATAAACAGGGGAATATTTGCATAGCGGGATTGGATCGTCGGGCCAGCTACGCCACTGTCACTATTATATAGGTTACTATATTCTAAAATCTATATCGTCGAAAATTTGAGAAAAAAAGTGTTAGCGGATCAAATTTTGAAGTTAGTAGCCATAATGGAGCTTAATGGTAGCCATAATCATGAACGCCGAAAAAGGGGGGGGAGGTTAACGTTGTTAGGAGAAGTACCCTTTTATAAATTTGATAAAAAAATATACCTTAACCTGACTTGTTTAATTCTCGATTACTGTAGTCATTGTCGCGCATGAATAGATAATTCTTCCAGAAAATGCCCGAAATGCGATTGTCAATCATCCAAAAATACAAGGTAATATATTAACATTGACTTTTCAATTGAGGTGATTAACATTCAAGCTGATACCCCATGCACGTACACCTCAACAACATGCAAAGGCGTTGTAACCTTCCTGGATATACATCAATTAAAAATTGCTAGTCCTCTATGCATGGAATTCTGACGCCTTGTCAACTTCTCATTCGACCCCCTGGTGGCCTTTAATTTATTTTAAATTTAGTTAGCCGTCATTTTTGTGGTCTGAATACATGTGGGTTGAAACATATGAATTTTAGTTTGCTCTAGATATCATGGCGAGGTATGTGCACAGTGCACTTATCGAATTAGACATGCAGTCGACAGAATTCTAATTGGTGCACGCAAAATACACTTGAAATTGACAGCGTCAGTTACGTTGATGCATTGCAGACCTATAAGGGAACGTATAAAGTGCACAAATTTTGAACTTGTACAAGTTGAGCTCAAGACTTTTTTATAAGTTCAGAACACCAACCAATAGACATCTAACGTTGTTTAATTAACAGAATTTTAATTGTCGTTACACAATCTCGTTGTCACAACAGAAGCAAGACTTCGAAAGACCAGTCATTCAAGAAAAAAAGAAATTAACTTAATAACTAAAGGTTGCAAAAGGTAACCACACCACATCGATATGAGGATAGACGTGGTTGTATTAAGTTTCTTGGTCGTGAATCTTGTTCGCGGGGATATGTACCTACATAGCCCCAGAGGTTCGAATAACCGCTTAAATGAAGAAACCGCGGCAAGAGCAAATGCTAAAAGACTTTTTAATTCCCAGGTAAGCATTGGAGAGTTTTCATCCCGGTTTTCATGGGCAGTTTGAGATCGGGCTGAGTTTACTCAGAGCTATATTTATAGCCAACCCAGGCTGAAATGTCAGCCCGGGCTGAAATTATCTGAGTGTCACGAAATAGGACAATAAGCCTGTTACGCTTCTTGTAACTAATTGCTTCTTTTACCTGATGTAAAGCACCATTTGATCACATATCCACATGTAAAATTGCGCTATAGAAATGTTAACCGCGTAATCCTTATGAAAAATGTTATTATCATATAACCATTTACTGCAGCAATATAAATATATCCAGCTAGTCCTCTGTTGCTATATTATGACAATTTATTCAGCTAGAATCCATGTCGCAATTAACTGCATGCATGCTTAAAGATTTGGATTTCAAATGGTTTGGTTTTAAAACTTAATTATAAGGTGAAATAAATTGTTTCAGAACAGATATTTCCGACAGAAAAGTGAGATATTTCATATGTGAATGTTTTGTAGTAGGCTATATTAGGTGCAATCTTATTATTCACTGCAAATTTAACTGTTTTTCGCTGCGACGCGTTTTTGAAAAAAAATATATTCTCGCGTGAACATGTTTTATTCGCTGCTCTTTTAGTATAGAAACTCGCTTCTATATAATGATGTATATTTACTAATCTGCATGTCAAAAAATTTTGGAAGTTTTTTCTGGTGTATTCATCCATTTTGAAAGCGACAGTGCTAGTTTTCTTTTTTTCTGGTTCGCATGCATGATTAGCTCTTGTAGTTTTTATGCCTATCTTTGTTTTCGCTACTTCCCGTATATGAGCTGATATATGCGGCAAATAGTCAACCAATCAAATTTCAGAACAACACATAAACAGCAGACAACTATATTATAAATATTAATATGTTACATGCAACCACATTTGAAATTTTACTACTTTACAAATTGTATAAATTAATTGGTTGTTATATTCTGACTCATTATTTTCTTGCAGAAGTGCACAATAATACTTAAGTGCACGACTGGATTGCTATTCTCATAAAAGAGGCGTAAAAGATTATGAGCTATTGAGTTATACAATGTATTGCACGCAAAGCTCTCTTTATCCCCCAAAACGACCAAAAGCCATGATAGTTATAATTAAATATAGGCCAGCATATCTCAAAAATTTATCCTCACAATTCGGAGTCTGTTGCATGGTTTTATAATTATTGCAGTTACAAATTATGTCGATGAAAAAATGCGAATCTGAAATGATCGTGCTTTGTGATTGGTTTCATAAAACAGTATAGTAATCAGTAATTAATTATGACTCGTTCCCTGGAAAAATAATTTTATAAGATGAGTTAATTGAATGTATTTTATTGCTGTGTTCAATAATGACAAATTAAGGCCGTCCAAATAAAATGGTGGCGACCTTTTACTCAATAAAGGTTTGCATAAGTTGATTTAAAATTCAATTGTTTAATATATTTCAGTAAAATCATTCTTTTCTAATACAGGCAAAAATATTGTATATTAATGACTGTGCAATTTTTAACTATATACCATGCATTTGTAGAACAATAACAACGGCGGTTATAATGTTGGCGACAAGTTGTACTATGCTTCAAGTACCACCCAGAACAATCAATACAATATGGTGAGGACTCTTGTTCTTTGTATTAGTTTGTGCTGTCGTGAAATAGGAAAAAATCTTATTTCCACATGAACTAACCATGCACATATGCTTACTCCATCAATGTTAGGCTTATTTCCAGAGCGGCAAAGACTACAAGACGTTGGATGGCCTTACAGGGAAATCACTTCTGACAATTGAGTGGACAAACCAACATGGATGTGGAGACAAAGACCTCAACTGCAATTTTGTGATCCAGTATAGATGTCAGGAAGATGAAAAATATCAAAAATTCAATCAACATTCGATGAGAAATGGTAAGAAAATATAGAAAACTAGGAAATATCAATGATTAGAGTCAGTGGATATTGTTGTAACTCATTGACTTTGTTTTTCTCTTAAAAGAAACAGAGTAAAGTTCGAATTTCCACTTTACTAATATATTTAAGGTATATAAATGTTGAAAAATGAGAGAAAATTATAGATAATAATCTGGTGATCTGGTGAAATTTTATCCGAAAATGCCTCAAGTGCATGCCCATTTGATAAATACAGTTTACACACCATTAAATATCTATTACAAAAATTGTCTATGAAAGACGTGAAAAGCACTGTTACCCAATATGTGTAATGATGTGATAAAAATATTAACAAAACTACACCAATTTACCTCGTGGTATTTTGGGCAGTCTAAAAAGGAGCTGGAAACAAATTTAATTAAGTAGCATTTTAAGAAGTTAATAGACCATGTAGGAGATCCGTATAAACTTACAGTAGAATGGCGAAATCTAGATCTGTCAATCATATTTGATAAAACAATGGATAACAGGTGATAGTGCAGTATAAGTATTTACATAATTGATATAAAGTTGAAATTGATATAAATTTGAAAAGCTGAACAACACACTGTAGATAATATTATGTAAGGTTAAAATAATTACATATTTGTTACCTAACGGTAAATATTAAAATTAGTGGATTATTATAAATCATATATGGGGCCCATTTCTGAGAGACATGGTAAATTAAAATCTTCCTATAAGAACAATTCATTCACAAATAGCTGCGATATTCAACTACTAAGCTTGAAACATGTGCTCCCATTAAGCTTTGCGCGCTTAGAGTTTAAGGTTTAAGGTTTAGAGTTTAAGTTTTGCAAAGGACAACCTTTTCAATTGATTCTTTTAGGTGTTTATACAACTATACCATATTATACGTCCAAAACGTATACCTATCGTGCTTTGAAAGATAAAACTTTAAATACTGATACTAAATCCTTCAATTATGGACTGCATGAACCATGGGAATGGTATGATAAATGCAAAAAAAGGAAGCGAAATTATGGTAAGCAAAGTAAACTAGTGTGCAGTTTGCCTCTGCTTATTTTTTTATGTCTTCCACTTGTGTGGATTGTCAAGGATTTATTTTATATGCGCTTAGTTTAAGATAGAACTGTTTAGCCATTTTTACTAATGATAATCTTAACCTTATTCAATATATATACTTCCAGTAATATACCAGACGTATTACTACAAAGATTATTATCTTTCTAGTAATATACTACTATTATAATTGCTGTTGCTAGTATAATATGTTGCTTTTCTACTCATATATAGTAACTGCCATGCAAATCTGATTCGTAATGAATACATTTGATATCCAGTTATAGGTAACCCCCTCCCCCTAGATGATGCACGTATAATTGTTGAATGGCCCTAAACCTACATCCCTCTAGGAGGATATAGTCTTTTTGGAGGGAGTAATATTTCCATTCCGATTCTAGCATCCACGTGAGGAGGATTAGTTAACAATAAGCTACAATAATTGTTTTCCTTTGTACGATTTCCTCCCAGATATGAATATTGCCAGACAAAGATTTTGTAATCCATTAGCATGTGAAAATTACCCATAGCCTAAACGACCAACAATTGAATAAATTATATTTTCACGATTATTTCGAATTCTTCCTGCGAGTAAGCCAATAATGACATGTGTAAACTAATTGTATAGATAAATAATATATATAGAAAGCGTAGGATAAACTTTCTTAAAATCTTTGTTCTAAAGGTTTATTTTTAGCTGACCAAAAGCAAAACTTGAATGGAATATATAGTACACACACTCGTCAAAATCCCAAAGGAGATCGGTATGGTTATGAATGTCCAGAGGAAAGAGACTACTATCCATATTGGCATCCCACTGATTGGGTTGATATCGCAGTTCTTACTGACGACCCGTCCTTTTGCAGTTACTACAGAAACGAAAGCTTTAATGTCAAGTCAAAAGGTTGTAGACCTTTTTCATAATGATATTATAATATAGTATTTCAAAATAGAAAACATTTTCCGTGTTTCTATAGAGTTATAATTAAAACACGCGTGGAGATTACTAAAAAAAGGTCATCAAGTTTAGATTAGTGTCAGATAAAAATTAGATTAGGGTTAGATTAAGATTATATTACGGTTAGTGTTATGGTTAGGGTTTAACATGTTACGCGAATTTATTGTATTGATAAATTCGGACGTGTTTAACAATTTACTCATATAGTAAATTCAAAGGTCAAGCTCATGCTGCATGTACAAATGACAACCTTTGTAAACCATTCAAAAATCTTAAACCTTAAACATTGAGCGCGCAAGGTATGATGAGTAACTTCCTATTTAGGGTCTTAAACACGGGAATTTGCTTGCCAACAATGCTTCTAAGGGCATATATGATGAATACTTTAATAAACGGTATGAACATCTATATATATAGATGTAGGGCTATTTGATTCACTAAACAAATGTTCAATTTTAGGCTCCAAATAAGCAATACTCATCATACCTTCCGCGCTCAATACTTAGGGTTTTAGATAGCCTTTTTATATTGCTTAAGTATAGGAAGCACAAGTAATATCAACAATACCATATCCATGAACAGGGAAACACTGATAGGGATGGTAGGACATGAAACGGCAATAATTTTTGTGTTTACCTTACCCTTTGTTTCCCCTAAAACCTTTATAGGAGAGTGTTTGGAATATTACAGTGGTAGCAAAGAGTTTAAACACCAATCAGAACATAACAACAAACTTGACTGCGAGGAAAAGAAAGGCATCTGGGTTGAATTCAACAATTATTTAGAGTTATATCCACAAGCCCAAACAGAATCAGAATGTAAGGAGGCAAGCACGGATGCTAGACGATTTATTTGGGCCATACCATATCGCTCAGACGATATAGACAATCTTAAAATGGAAAATAATAATGTTAAATCCCTCCAACGTTGCTTGGTCGCCCTGGATCCTCCTGAATGTCTGAAGACTTCGCATTCTAGATCAAACCATTTAGGGAATGTTGATGGTGTTGTCCCTCAACGATACACATGGGTTCTGCCTCATTTTCCATCTAGAAAAGCGCAGAGATGTGTTTTACGTGCCAGGTAAGTTGACAAATTGGCAAGCAAATTTCTAACGAATTTTAGTGTGTTTTAGGTACTTGATCTAGTAATGACCACGTTATTACGAAAATTAAATGCGAAGCCAACAGAAAAAATAGGCACGCTAGGCGTACATGTATCTGCGCAAAAAAATTGCATCGTTCCTATGAAAAAAAATTTCATGCACAATTATTGAGTAAACATTTATATATTTTTGAAGTGACTATACAGCCGGCAGCTGGCTATTTACTAAACTGCTGCATGGCTATACAGCCGGCTATTTAGTAAAATGCTAGCTATATAGTAGACTCCTTCGCAACCGCTCTTCGTGTTGAGGTTTCTCCCCACAAGAGGCTGCTCGCCCGAGCACAACATTCCATTCCCTTTGTCCTACGTTAGCCAATCAGATTTAGCGACATAAATATCTTAATAAGTCCTAGGTCATAACTGCAACAATCCGACCCGGACTGCGTTTCACTTTCCGCACGCAGCGCCCTTACCATATACGCTAACCGCAAGCTCGGTAAAAGCTAGCGCAAACAAAAGTTTTTATATTTAACTATAGCCACTATATAGCCGACAATTTACTATATACCCTGCTGTATTGTCACTTTGTTTATATTTTGTGATATGATATATGATATATATCTCTTGTCTACCACAATCAACTGTCAGAAAGCCACCATTTTTATAATAAAAACAGACAGAATATGAGTTACAAAATGGGGCATTTATTAATGTACCATGTATTCATGTTTGCTCTATATAAAAATGAAAAAATACGTACAGTCTGTAAATACATTTTATTAACTTTAACTCAACTTATGAAGCAATCCTATAATTATAAGATGTCCTGTGACTAATGCGCCATATAACAACATTTTAAGTACTATTTAAAGCACGCGTAGGAGTGTTTTATCACATATAAAACACGACGCGTAGCGGAGTGTTTTATATGTGATAAAACACGACTACAAGTGCTTTAAATAGCTTAAAAAACGACTCATTTTATACGAGTTCATTGGCGAAGTAATTTTTAAAATAAACTATGTCTAAACCGAGAAAATCAAAGCTAAAGTTTATGTAAATTAACATGTTTTTTATCACATATAAAACCACGACACGCTTATGATTTTTCTTTGTGTTTTGCTCCCGAATTATTAATGAGTTTTTTAACGTAATATAATAATTCTAAAATCTAAATGATGTGACTATAAATGTCCATAACAAAATAATTAATATGAATATACGAATAAACCTTCGATATTATTAAAAAGCATGCACGGTCAGTCACGAAAAAGCTTTCCAATGTTACTTTAGGCAATCTTCTAGGATGTGACAAAAAGTTTTTTATCGGACAATTTAGCAGTCAGTCAAAGTCAAACCTCGAGTCACACAAACAGTTTCTCTTCACCCTGTAGAAAGCCGCCATCTTTGTTTTACGGCCTGTTCGCAGGCGTGCAAGCCCTATAATTGTTAGCCTGAGTGTTTAACGCACGCACACGCACACACACAACTCGATAGCATAGTATCTAGCGCTATACGCGCAGATACAAAAACCCAAATGTATCTAAATAGAAAAAATACTATTGTCGATTCGTAAATTAGTAATAATTAACAGTCACTGTACACAATAATAAAAGAAAATTTGCATTTGAAATTCTTTTTTGAGTTAATTAACCGAATATTACTTGAATGGCCACTGAAGTCTATGCCCCGCCTCAGTCGTAACCATATCGAATCTTTATGTATGTTCTTCATCCTCAACCTGATTTCATGCATAATATTAATACATCATTGGAAGCTAATACATTTTATTATATACACAAGGTCTGGATATGAGGTATTCTGCAATCTGATTGGTTCTCTACTACCAGGATATTAGCTCATATCCTGCTAGTAGAGAAAAACAAAATGGCGGCTCAAATTGAATTTCCGACGTTTCCGAACAAAAAATGGCAAGTTGTTCGCTTTTTATAGCCTTTACAGAATTAAAAACACAATGAAAAAACTCCCACAAATTGTTTACAGGTTAGCAAATGAATTTTTATATTTAAAATAGTTAAAAATATATATTTTTCAAAAAATAATCGGCCGAAAGAGCGAAGATGAAAACTTAAACAAAATAGAAAAATATTGAAAATATCCGAAAAGCAAAATCTGTGAATTCAGACCTTGTGTATATAATAAAACAGTTATTCCACTCACTCTCGTCAAATATGAGCGATAGCCAATTCGGCGCTACGCGCCTCATCGGCTATCAGCTCATATTCGACTCGAGTTCGTAGAATAACTGTTAAATATATAGGCCTAGAGTATGTATATACTGCTGTACTTGATTGTATAATTATATAAGACTGAATTGGTATTCGAATCTTGATCTTTCTTAATCCAAGCAAGATTAATAATAATGGTTTTTAATAATGGTTTTATTCAATAGCATTTTCACATAAAACATGGCTCCTGACTACCGCAAACTTTTAAAATATTGCAATCAAGGGTAAATTCCGTTCGCAGTTCGTATACAATTAAGCCACTTCGATTATAAAGATAAGACTATTCTCTCAATTGGTAGTTGAGTAAAAGCCTTCTATTTTCGCTTCAATGCTTCATTGTTGTTACCTGCAGTTGGATACCGAATTAATCGCAGAAAAGCTGCAAAGTTTTGTTGTGTCAATTACGAATCGTAGCCAGTCAAGCACGCGGTTTAGCAGAAGATTATTAGTTTATCCGTCACGTACAGACTGAATTTCTAAAGCATTAATTGTCAAATTATATGTCGACTCAATTTGCGCTATAGTTCACACCCGCTACTGCACTATTTAAATAATAGGTAACGCTTTGGTAACGCTTTCAATTGTTTTGTTTAATTTAAAGACAAACAGGGCAATCTATATGTACAGTTAATTCAAAACTCTATACTCTAAACCTTAAACTCTAAGCGTGCAAAGCATAATGGGGGCATCATTTAATCAGTTTTAAAATCATATACATGGGGCCCACTTCTTAGAGACATGCATGGTAAATATCTCCTTACGAGAACAACTGATTCATTCACAAATAGCTGCAATTCAATTACCATAAGCTTGAAATGTATGCTTCCATTAAGATTTGCGCGCTTAGAATTTAAGGTTTAAGGTTTGGAGTTTAAGGTTTGCAAAGGACAACCTTTTTTGAATTGGATGTATATCACGTTTAAAATTCAATTGCATTACTGCGACGAAATTTTATATTTAGTGGAAGCGTTTTAAACAATAGCGCTCGAAGGTAAATTTCTTGTTGTACATTTATAGGTACAACATTTCCACGGGAGATTATCCACCATTCGACACCTTTAGCAACCAGAATGAAGACGTGTAAGTGTTTTACTACATTTTCATGGTCATATAATATTACATGGGAAGTGTTTTTCACGGTGATATAATATGTAATTTGATTGGCTAATATGTGTGCATTAGACACAATAATGAACTGTTTTGGTTTACAACTATTGCTTCGTCTTCTTGCTGAAACAGAGAGAACAAAATTATACAATTTTAAATTAAATTCCAAACTTTATCAGAAAAGCAAGATAAGCTGCGGATGAAAAATAAAACGCAAAGCCAGCCAACATGAGACAACTTCAACGGGGCAAAAGGGGCGAAGATTGTTTCAGATTCTGAAGATCCCTTCGAATGCAAAGTCTGCCCTCCCCCCCTCCCCGTCGACAACAATTTTGGAAAGTTTACACTGAAAATGTTTTCAGTATGTGGGGCACAATGGGGAAAATTCGGCAATTTGTTTCTGCCCCCCAGAATTTTCCCTCTCGTATGCCTATGTTGCCCTCTTGTATTATAACGCCATGAAATCACGTGACTTCGTGTTCATTTCTTAATTATAGCAATATATTGTACATGTATGACTTAGATTCTTGCACTTCACTTGGTGGAATTAATATTAGGATGTTAGGGTTTGTAATCCAAGTGAGAATATATACATTTTAAGACCTAACCAGGAACGACTGCGAAAAATGCAGCACAAGGTCCTCTGGTATGAATCGCAGGACCGCGTAGGTTCAATTCCTACCAGAGGACCTTGTGCTGCATTTTTCGCAGTCGTTCCTGGTTAGGTCTTAAAATGTATATATTCTCACTTGGATTACAAACCCTAACATCCTAATATTGTGCATGTGCATTCAGACTGATATATCTGAATATTTTTTAAATACTTTTCATTTATTGCAGTAACAATGGCGTCTACTCCCCAGTACGGAATAATCCCACTATAAAAGTAGGCCATGTGCAGTTTCCCCTGCGACTTGCCATCAACACAGCACAGTTTGGTCGTGTTTTTCAAGATCGGTCACACGTGTTCGAGCTTCGTCCAAGACCAAAGAAAGTTTCCAAAGATGATGTCATCTATAATTTAAATGTTCGAGGAAAACGGGGCAATATTGTTCAGGTGTATCCTGCCGTTGAGTATGACTTTGTTCCCAAACGTTTGAGTATAAAGGCTGGAAGCTTGGTGCATATACAGTGGACAGGTAGTTTAATCCAATTTATGTACTCAGGTGAAAATTGTCTCGTTTAAGAGCCTCAGGCCCCCTTCCTATTTGTGCGTGATATTTCACGATCCAAAAGGATACGCATGCAGTTGGGATGGTCAGCTAATTGGCTTCGGCTGGTCTGTTTTGCAACCTATTGTTTAGCCTGCGAACAGGCTCTCAAGCTGAATTGAGAGCCTGCATCGATGACTAATGAATTTGAATATCTGCGTCTCAAATCGTGACGCGAAATTCTAATTGGTCAGATGCTATAATTTATATGTTTCCGCTGAGCTCTATATATGTCAACTGCAAGCACTATGCATAAAAAACACATTAACTGATCAAATTGGTCTTGGCCGTCTTATCTCAAAGCACGAAATGTTCTGTTTTGAGAAAACAGTATTTAAAACATTTGAACTTTTGCTTGAATATCTTATATTTTGAAAAACAGTATAAACTGTACGGTCTAAATTTAGTTTGTACGGTCTAAATTTAGTTTGTACGAAAGTTGTAAACAACACCATATAAGGATAGATATTCCATATTTGGAAAAACGAACGTTACGGGGCAGATATTCAAATTCATTAATCATCGATGCAGGCTCTCAATTCAGCTTGAGAGTCTGTTCGCAGGCTACCTATTGTTCAATGATTTTGAATTTAATTATCAATTTTTGTATGCGTTGCATCATTGAAAGACAATAACATCACGAAACTATTTGGTTCACATTAACCCTTTGTAAGACGAGAATTTGCTTTGGTTGAACATACATTTCTAACATCCATCCTTATACATCGTCGATCTCAAGACATGCGTGTACAGCGTTCTAACCAAATAAAGATTCTGATATACGAATATATTTCCTCATAACATCAGTGATTTATAGAAAGCAAACGCCGCAAAGCGGTTTGGTTGTACATTAGAAAGTTGAGTCACAGTCTATAACCAAGTAGCTCAGCTGAATGTGTTTGAAAGTCATAAATATTACGGGCGCATGTGGCTATATTTTAGCTTAATGAATAATGTGGTGTAAACAACAAAAACGTACTAAAATAAACTTATGATTCATTTTGTTGATTTATTAACTTTTATTATATTGCGACATTGAGTATGTTTAGTCCAGCCAGTAATATACGAAATTTAGATGCCATTTTTTGTTTATGCATTTCAGATAAATTATGAAACTATAAACACCTCAAAATTCAGAGCGTTAAGTTACCAGCTGAAGTCAGGGCCTTTTCTGCTTACCACTCATGAGCATTTCGATCTGCTAAATTTTGGCAATCCACTTTAATTAATAGTTAAAAACAATGTAAAAGTTACCTTGTATTTTCGACCTACGCCAACAAAACCTAATTGAAAATATCCTTTAATTAACTATAGCAGTTATCCCTTTTCCTTATTTTAAGTTTTATTTTTCTTCGATTTGAGTACTTGGAAGACTTTTAGACATTTTTTTTGTTTGAAACTCGTCTCTGTCGCAGCTTCGTAGGCCAATAAACATCTCATATTGCACATTGGCAATACATGAAAATCCTGCTTCGTCAGCAGCCAAATGAATTCCGCGATTCACCAAAACAAATGCTTGAATTGCCATACTATATATAATTTGTTTACTTCTCCAGGTTCAAATACAAATCCTAAAGCAAACAATGGAGAGGGACAACAAAGTAAGTGTGATATACCTTTGCACTAATCTTAGTTTATATATTATACCTGCTGTAATAATATACATAAAATGTTCCTCGACTGTGATTGGTTGATTTCAGCGCAGTTGTAATCCCAAACAATAGTGCAACTATCCGCAACAAACTGATCTGACTTGTGGATAAACATTCTGACCTAAAGTCAACCAATTAACTTCAAGTAGTTTCAAAGCAAAACAAACATGGCGATTGTGCTGCATAAAGTAAAAGTTGATTTCGAGTCGGAAATATGGCTTTCATCTTTTTCCTAAAAAGGAAAAGACTTTACTACAAACATATATCGAAACTTACGTTGTTGCATGACTCAAATTCTAAACCGCGTTAGCGCTGTAAAATGTGTTATAATAAAAGCCGGACAACTTTGACAGTGGTTGGTTGGCTATTTGACGCAAGTTCCGTCCTGCTTTGTGTGCATGTAGCTACGTTTTAGCCAAATTGCACTGGAAACTATCCCAATTACTTACTGTACACTAATACTACATTACTATTTTTGTGGACTGCAAGCTCTTTGGACAAACAATACAACTGGGGCATGTTGCACCGATAGCGCTATCCAGTAAATTTTTCGAACTTTCCAAGCTTGTCCATTTACTATCAATATAAGATAAAGTCTACTTTTACTAATTACGAGGTCTATATATATTAATTGTATTTTAATTAAGTACTATATATACTTAGTCTGGCAACGTTAGAAATTACCATTTTGTGCATGCTATCAGGTCTTTGCACAACCGTCGGCTTGACAATTTTTTGCGCTTGCCTAATAACTGAATTCATTATTTCTTTTTGTTTAGCTTACAGAAAACGAGCAAGATTTCGGATGCACCGCTGTTCATTTATATTATATTTGAGACTAAAAACGCATTATTTGTTATAGAAACCGATCGAAACAATATGGTTGAGATGAAAGACCCTTCTGTAAATTATCCTTTGCAATCCGGAGAAACTTCATACCTCTTCAACAATGCTGAAATCATCTGGTCCCATGACATTAAGACAAAAACGAAAGAAGATCTGATCCTGAGCATGGCTTCATCTGGCTACTACAACAGTGTAACACTTTGCCAGGCCTCGCCAACTACTAATAACGGAAAGCTTGGTCCTCTCTTGAATATCGCTCCCGCTTCATATCCTGGAATTTTGCTGAGGTTTGCCCCTGGGACTTACTACTACATGTGTACAAGAAATAACAATTTCACTAACCGGAATCAGAAGGGACGGATTCATGTTTACATGACCAATGCTAATGGAAATGGAACGCAGACTAAGAGATCCGCTTATCAACGTCTCATTCAGTCCGTACGTATGAACGAAAAGTAGAAAGACATTTGGAAAATTTTCCAAATATTGAGTTGTGTCAGTCTTGTATGTTAGCTCAGTTGAACAGTACATTTTTGTGGCAAGCATATTTGTTTTTGCCACTAAAACGTTGCTTATATATTGCTTTTTGTGTTTTTGAACAAGATTTTTCAGAAGAAACATCTTTGTTTCAGCCACTTGGAAGTACGTATAAACATTGTTTAGTGATATTTTCTCTTTGTTGAGTCTACTCTTTGAATTTAATGTTTTGTAAAAGTTGAAAGACGTTTTCGTGTAAATGAGATTCTATATATAGGTGTTTAATTTGTCAGATATTTTGCTTTTAATATTGGAAATAGTAATGTGTAAGCTATGAAATAAATCTTTTTTCGTGCACTGGATGTTAATTCTTCCCAATCGTATATATCCTATATACGAAAATTTTAGTCCTATTTCGGCCCGTCTTTTGGCGACACAAATGTTCTGACTTTTAACTGGTTGTCTTGCTTAAAGGGGAAGTCAAGTCCGTTCTGCGCATCGGTTCTGCTCATAACAATGAGAGGACCTCTAATGTGAACATTGCCCAAATTTCGAATGTTTCGAATTTTTCTGAACATAAACTCTATTTCATATTCATTTAGAAGCATAGCGAACCAAAATGGTGTTAGATATTCAGACTGTACATCATATTTTAAAAAATAGAGCAGTTCAAAATGTAAACAAACCGTTTGTTTACATAACGGACTTGACTTCCCCTTTAATTTAACACAATCTTATTACGACACACACAATTTCTACATGGAACTTCGTGTTCTTGTCTTTGATAAAGATAAGAGTAGAGAAATTCCCAACCTCGCAAGCTAGGATCTTTACTTTCGCACGGCGTTGTAAAGTAAAGACCCTGGCTTGCGAGCTTGAGAAATTCCTATAGGTAACACATCATGAGGAATCTTATACACCTATATTCAAGTGACCTCGAAACCCGAGGCAATTTACGGGTTTTTTTTCGCTATACTATAGGTCTGGACCAATAGCATGCGTATACAGTGGCCTGTTCCCATTGGATAAACAGGTATATACGTTAATAAGCGTATAGTATCTGCGCAAACTGATGCATTGTTTTTAATGGTCAGAGCAAGTAATAAACTTAAGTAGCTGATAAACAAGTAATAAACTTAACTGAATAACATAGATTCGTACGGTCTATGTTTTATAATTTTTCCCACTAAAATAAAACTGCATGCATGTGGAATAATATTTTCGGAAAAATAATAACAGTGCCGTAACAAGCTCGATAATTGGGGGGGGGGGGCATATTCATATATTCGTGTTCACAGACCATAAAAACGATAGATTTCAAAAGAAATTAATGACGCAGAACACCAATATATGAATATGAGCCCCCCCCCCGCCCCAATTGGGAGAGCAGAGTTGGTCTCGGCTAGCGCTTGAGTGCTCTACCAAAGTAAATAAACAACATTGTTATATATAGTTATAGTGTCAAAGTTCAATTTTTCTGTTTTCCGATTGGACAAAAGCATATCACGTTCCAGTCCGCAAAACGTCGTGTTTATACAGATTTCCAAGATTTTCAAAAAAAAAGTTTGAAAACGCTTTAAAAAAGTTTTAAAAAAGTTTAAAAAATAAAAAAGTTAGATTAGAGTTAGGGTTAGTGGTTAGTGGTTAGCGGTTAGGGTTGGAGATGGGGTTAGTGTTAGGGGTTAGGTGCCGTTAGGTGTTAAGAATTTACTCATATAGTGAGTTCAAAGGTGGAGCTTATGCTGGGAAAAAGAGTGTGTTTTGTGGTCCAAAAAACACACGGTTTCCCTCGATTTCGGTAAATAAGTGATAATTAGTATACAAATCTAAATTGGGAATTCTAAATTTTATTTTAATAAACAGTACTATAAGAACTAGTTCAAAAAGTCTTCTTGATGAACTTGCTTGGGCGGAGTTGAATATCAGAAGAAAAGTTCATAAATTATCTCATTTTTACCAGTAGTTAATAATTGTGCTCCTATTTACTTCAGGGCCTTTTTAAGGATTTTCCTGGGGGGGGGGGCATTTTTGAAAATGGACCTTTCTGTGAGATAATATATTAGAGGGGGGATAGCAATGGCCGTGGGTCACGTGCGTTTCCGGCATACCACGCAAGAATAGAGGGTCTGGCACCCAGATAATTTGTGAAATTTGAAGCCCGGAAATGCCATTTCCTGCATTCTGAGCCGCTAAATTTTCTCTAAAATTTATGCTAACTATACTTGTATTTGAAATAAAAGAAGGAAAAACCGCTAAAAAATATTAACAATAATTTATCATTACTTAGTGTTAGAAACACGTACAGTAGGATGCACACGCGGCGCCACAGCTCCTTTAAATCGATTTTGTTAAACAAGGACAAAGGATAAAGCCTGAACATGACGTTTTGTGGACCGGCGCGTGATACGGTTTTGACCAATCGGCAAACGGAAAAATTAAACTTTGACACTAACTAGGGAAACAGTGTGTTTTGTTGACCCAAGACCGCCGTTGTCGCCCGAGGGCGAAGCCGAGGGCGACAACGCGGTCGATGATCAACAAAACACACTGTTTCCCGAGGTTTCAATAAAAAAGTGTTTTGTTATATAGCAATTGTCAAATTAGTCTGAACAATTTACCCGTCATTCGAATGAATTAAAAAAAAATTATATATGTAAATACGGGACGCTGCCACACTTTACAAAAAACAAGAAACGTTCAAATATTTATTAAAAAAACAACTCTGAGTAAAATATATCAACATTCTTACTTCGACAAGAAAAATACGCATGTGAACCGAGCAGACATTTTTCAAAAACTATTGAATGGACTTTGAACTTCTCGGTTAGTTCGCGCACGCGCACAGCACCTGTTTTATTATTGACCGGTCAGTAAATGTTTTATTGTTGACTGGTCAGTAAAAATGAAGTTTTGTGGACCGACACGCTTATGTCCAATATGCTTATGTCCAATCGAAAAACAGGATAATTCAACTTTGACACTTGCTATATAACAATATAGATTTTATATTCCTTTACGAACTGGAAAACATATATGTTGATATCGATGTAGAACTGAAAACTTTAAAAAATCTTTTTATGGTTCTGCAATTTCTTTATGGAACTCTCTAATTATTGATATTAGAAATTTAACTTCTCTTCAAAATTTTAAAATTGAAGTAAATAAGTTGTGTCGGCCGCCATGTTATGATAAATGGCTTAGTGTTTCTGTTACGTGGAAAGCTTCAGTTTTGCATATACGCGCTTACGATTAGGTTTTTGTGTACTCAATGATTATTTGTACAAACTTAATTGCTGTAATTCTCCCGTAACATGGCATGGAACATGAAACTGTTAACGTTAAGCATTTTTCTTATTATTGTTTTGCTGCTCAACGTAATACTTTGCTTACCTTGGCCAAGCATGGCTAGGAAGAAGTGATAAGGTAAAACTCGATTATTATATTGAAAGGATCCAATCAATTAAATGATGATGACAATTGTTCGCTTTTTAGTTTTGTCCAACAATTTATTCTGGATACTCGGTTTTGTTAGCTCTAGCTTTGTCACTATTTGTATATGTTCGAATTTATTCACCATTTGTGATCAAATTTAAGTCACTTGAATCAAAATGGCGCAACGCATGCGTATAAGCATGAAGTTTTGGGAAATTTCTACTCGCAATTGTGCATCGTATATAATTGAGTGATTAAAACATTTTACAGAACTGGAAGTTTGCAGACTGAGCTCGCAATGCCATGCATATATGTTTACCAAGTGGACAACAAGTATTTGGTAAATTTTTGAAAATTGGGAGAACATTTAAATCCTAAAAGTGGAAAATTGCAATTTCAACCGACGCTTTAAATCAGAACGCATTTGGTCATTTTTTATTGCCTATAAATCTTTATAAATACGAAAACAGAAAACCTATAACGTTTTAGTTAACACGCGTTAACCTGTCGAATTTGGATTACCTTTTTCACCCTGTATGTATACATTCGGTGATGTATAAAGTCTGGTACTTAATATCACTATAATGAGGGTTAATTCTCGCTATTAAGTGAAGCTAATTACGTTCTTTATCATCCAAAATAGTGCATATGTAAATTATTTAACCGCAAAGCATTTGCTTAATCCCTATAATCTTGTAATTAATCGACCGCAAAAACAATTAAAATTCACTTTCCATGGTTGAGTCGTTAAATTAACTTGTTTTTTGTTTTTTGTAACATATCCCAAAAGTTCATATTTTGTCTCATATAACAAGGTCACTTGGGAAATAGGGATATTATAGGAAGCTAGTTGGTGGAATTATAACATTGTACATCATTTATGCTCCAATATTTTCGCGAATGAAATTCTCATTATGTATATGATATTGGGTTACATTGTTCTTGCGAAGTGAAGCGCGCGCAACACTAAAGCTGCTTCTTTAAGTTCTACAGGCAACACCCAACATTAGCTTCAAGCTAGGATAAACTACCAAGCTTGAATAAACTACCAAGCTAGGACACTGAACTACCAAACTTAGTTTTTTTCTTAACTGTAGGACTTCAATTGTTTTTTAGGCCTTAAAACTTGTCCAGTTCATAATATTCAGATTGCCATGCACTACTCGTCACCGCACCGTTGTTATAACAAACGCATTTCAGATTGCAGTCCTGGTCTTTATGTTTTACATCCATGGTTATAGACACCGCACGCTACACAGCAAGCTATATACATATAGCATATTATCAAGTGTTACTTACTTACTTAGTTACTTAAAAATTTATAAAACCATGCTGGCCATACACAACATATTTGTAAAATGCAATGAGTTGATTTTCAGGTGAGGCGTGTTTTACTTATAAACTATCTTAACTCACATCCTAGTCTCTGGGTCTCTGGTATAGTGGACATACTGCGTTTAAAAATTGGTAAAGCGAGGATGCATGCCTTTTTCACCTCAGAAGGAAAACTATTCCACAGCATTGCACCATTATTCTTAAAACTTCGTTTAAGATATAGTTTGTTTTAGGTTTTAGAAGTGCTAGATCAGTATCATTATTTCGAAGATTATATCAGTCTCTATTAAGATCTTTAATTTTTATAACTTGGGGCGGACTGCTCATTAAGAATTTTGTACATCAAAACGTTCTTCAGCCTATGACGTCTTACATCGAGCGTGGACCATTGCAGATCCTCCAGTACATTTGCCGAGTTAACATCAAATCTTGCTCCTTTTATAACTCGCGCCGCTCTATTTTGGAGCACCTGTAATTTATCTTTATGGACCTTCCCGCATGTATCCCACAA